TAATGAATACATAAATTACATTTATAAGTACTCTAGGGATAAGGAATAGGATAAAGGTAAAAGGATTATAATATTTTTATTTTGAAATAATTTTAAACATGAAGTTATAAAAATATTACAGAGAACCATATATCACCTATGTACATACATTTGTGTGTATTTATACATTTATATAATTTATATGTCTGTTGTCAATATGGGTTCACAGAGATTCTTATTTTATTCAATAGGTCATATTCCTAGATACTGAAAAAGATATTCAGCATCTTTTTTGTAGGGTGCTGGGAATTGAAATTAGGCAATACTGAACGGTATCCTCAGTAGTATTATTTATATTGAACATCAAATTCCTCTTAGCACATCTTTACTTTTTTTAACACAAGATTTTCTTTGGCTGCCTTTGGTATTGGCATTTTCCCAAGGAGCTCTGATTCCTTTTAGTGGGGATTATATCTAAAAATAAAGAACTGGGTCCTAGGTGTGCTGTTTACCGGTACCTCCAATTCCAATCCATCCCCTCAGAATAGACTCTACTCAGTCATGGAAAAATGGAAAGGGGGGCTGTTCGCATTTATTTGTAAGACAGCTGAATGAATAATGAATGCATGTTCCTCATGGGAAGCTTTTTTTCAAAAGAAGGGTGAAGCTGAACCAATCGGGCTCAGATGTTTCTTCCGCAATTCATTAATCAGGTTAGTAATTCTGCCTCCTTAGGACAGCATGGGTAAGGGCAAAGAGAGAAACCAGGACTCATAGCAACAGAACTCCCTTCACATGACAGGAACTGGAGGGCATGGGAATGAAGTATCTTATCCTGATACTAATTGCATCTTTATTTTTCAACTACAGAGGAAGGTGGTCTCTCCACCTCCCTTCTCCCAACTTCTCTGAGGATTTTCTTCCATTAGGAATACCTTTTTTTTTTAATTCTTACTTTTTTTTTCGGGGGGGGGTACTGGAGTTAGAACTCAGGGCTTCAAGCTTACAAGGCAGGCACTCTACTGCTCAAGCAACGCCTCCAGCCCTAAAATCTTTTTATTGCACCATTTACCCCATTCATTATCTTCCTGTTGCTACCTCATTTTTATACTCCTTACCCAAACATCTCAGTTATCTGCACGCTCTTATCTCTAATTCCTCATCTTCAATTCTTTATTCAAGCTACCTTCAGTCAGACTTCCTTCCCCATCACTCATCTCAAACTGCTCTTGTTAATGTCACTTCATTTCCAAAACTTACTTAACCTTTCAACATTTACCAATTGACTTTTCCTCCTCTCTAGACTCTAACATCACACTCTCATGGTGCTGTCTGACTTCACTGGCAGCTCCTTCTTGTTTCTGCAAGCTCCTCCTCCAAATGTTGAAAAGCCCAATAGCGTGAGCCTCTGTCCTGAACCTTATTCTGTTCTCAATAATGGGATTTCAAACTCCATCTCTACATTCTTGATTTCCAAACACCTATCTCAAGCTCACACCTAAGAGCCAGACTTCTGTATCTCTCATCAGTCTCTCTCTTCTCCTGGATATCAAATGGGCATCTTAAAATGATCGGTCACAGGCTAGCTGGTCACTCATCAAATCCTTTTCACCTCGAATGCTCAGCTAAGCATTTCCTAGCTTCCCATGCAGCTTGATATAGATTCACAGCTGGACAGGAGCACAAGATAGAGTTTGAATTCATGAGTAAACGTGTAGAGCATCAACCACTGAATACCCACATTGAACTGTTTTTTATGAACAAGAAAAGAAAAACACTGTGTTCAGCTGTAGCTATTCTGAAGCTATTTGTTTAATGGCAGACTTCTACAGGTATCCAAAACAGATCTTCTTTTTCATTTTGTTTTTGTTTTTTTTTAATTTACTTTTTAAAATTTATTCATATGTGCACATTGTTTGGGCCACTTCTTCCCCTGCCCCCTGCCTTCCATCCCCCTTACTTCCAGGCAGAACCTGTTCTGCCCTCTTCTCCAATTTTGTTGAAGAGATGACTTAAGCAATAATAAGAAAGACATAGTGTTTTTGCTAGTTGAGATAAGGATAGCTATACAAGCTATACAGAGAGAGTCCTAGCATTGCTTCCATGCATATGTGTATTACAACTGGATTTGATTCATCTCTATACAGACCTCTTCACTACTTCCCGGTCACCTTCCCATAGTGACCGCTGTCATTTTAATGTTACTATATTAACTCCTCTACAGTGGACACATCAAAAACTTTTAAGTTTTGGGTTACCTACCTTTCCCTATTCCTCATGTATGTGTTCTCCCCTTAGCATGTGATCCATGTCCAAAAATATTACTGCAAGTGTTTTAGGTCTATAATCCACATACGATTTTTGGCCTTCTGAGCCTGGCAAACTTTGCTTAAGATGATGTTCTCCAGTTCCATCCATTTACTTGCAAATGACAAGCTTTCATTCTTCTTCATGGCTCAGTAAATTTCCATTGTGTATTAATACCACATTTTCTTAATCCATTCATCAATAGTGGAGCATCTTGGCTGTTTCCATAACTTGGCTATTGTGAATAGTACTGCAATAAACATGGGTGTGCAGGTGCCTCTGGAGTAACCTGAGTCGCATTCCTTTGGATATAGCCCTAGGAGAGGGATTGCTGGATCATATGGCAGATCTAGGTGCCATAAACACAAACTGGTAGTAAAAACAGTCACCATCTCATAAACCTCCTTCAGTAAGCCCAAACTCACAGAAGAGAAGATTGCAAAGGAAAAAAAAAAAAATAGAGAATACTGCCTTGGAGAATCCTGAATACATTTAAGAAGCAGGGAGATGAAGTGGGGCTACAAAGGAGAGGAAAAAAGAAAAGAATCAGGAGAGAGCAATGTTTGAGAATCCAAGGATAGAGTACTCAAGGCAAATGGTGACATTTAGGAGTGCAGTTTGCAAAGAGGCTTGGAAGAGAAGCTACATTGTAAATAGAGAAGGCATTGTAAATAGAGAATGACAAGTGAAGTAGGGACACAGTAACTTCTGAGTCAAACAAGTGTTCCACATTATAATTTAAATTATTGTAATGGAACCTGCACAATATATTAACGCAAGACTAAGGGGAGTCAAGACTTTTGTGTAGCACTTTGTCTTGACTTCATTTGACTTCATTTGATCTTGACAATAACCTTGTGCGAAAGGTCTTATTCCCATTTGGAAATGGAGGAAAATTACATCCAGTATTCAGTGCTGGAAAGTAAGTCTTTTCAGGAGTGCATATTGTCCACAGATATAAAAAAAACTTAAAGAGGTATATATACTCTGACCCAGAAATTCATCTTTAAAGGAATTTAGCTAAAATGAATAATCACAATAATGCACGCATAAGGTTGTATGCTGTAAGAGGAAAGAATTGAAAGTAACTCCAACAAAAGAAGACTGGATGTCCATGCCATAAGTGACACACACTCAATGCCAAATAATAAATGTATTAAGAAAGAAAAAATGCTTTACAGAGCAGACAACAGAACAGTATAGGCAGGGCGTCGGTGGCACACGCCTGTAATCCTAGCTACTCAGGAGGCAGAGATCAAGAGGATCGTAGTTGGAAGCCAGGCAAATAGTTCACCAGACCCTAACTCGAAAAAAATCCTTCACAAAAAAGGGCTGGTGGAGTGGCTCAAGGTGTAGGCCTTGTGTTCAAACCCCAGGACCTCAAAAAAAAAAAAAAAAAACCCAGTATATATAGCATGGCTTCATCGTTGTGTGTGCACACGTGTAATTTCCAAAATTTCTACAATAAACAAAACAAATATTGCTTTTGTAATGAGATTTTTAAAAGAAGGTCCTAAGTGATTAAGTACTCGCGGTCAAACTAGAATATCTGGGAAAGAAGTCTGAATTCTCCTGATTTACCAATCATACCTTCCTCAGGCTGCCTTTTCTTATACAGAATAGTCAGCAAAGAGAGAGCAGCCTGTAAGGTTTTCTTATACTTACTGAGAACGGTAGGGAAATTGCTTAAACAGTAATAGTAAAGATTTTATGAGTCCTCGTTTTTTCCACAAAAACGGAACAAACACCTTGTCTATACCCTTCTAGATTTCCGCCTTTCCAAGCCTTGACCTGGAATCCTTAGGCTGGCAAGCACGCTCATAAAAGTGGGAAATCACCAGAGGAGATGCTAGGGGAGAGGAATGTATCTCGTTAATAGAAATCAAAAGGCTCTTTAGGTACGTATTATGTGACTCGGGTTGCCATGTGTGGCGATGTCCAGGGGAAGGGCGGGACAGTTAAGACGCAAAAAATGGTAACTTCGGTGCCTTCTGCGATCAGCTTCTGCTGAGTTTACAGAACTTAGAAACCAAGCTCAGCTCCTTCAGACCGTCTGCACCTACAGGCCTTATGGGCTCAGCCTGCCCGGGAGGCGACACAGCAGGGCCTCCGTGCCGCCCAAGTTCACAAAAGTCTGCGAGACAAGCCGTGCGCTTCCGGAACAAAGGACTGCGAGGGCGGAACAGGAGCCGGCGCCCAGGGGCGTGAGCGAGCGTGGGTGCGGGCAGGGCTCTGTTCCCGATCTCTACCAAACTAATAACCTTTATTACTCACAGGCCCTTACATGCCTAAATCTCACTCACTCGACCAGCGTGCGGATGAGACACCATGCGCCTCCGCAATCTCCAGGACGCGCCACTCTTCCGCGCATGCGCAGCGACAGGCTGGGCGCCACGCTCCCTGCTGTGGCAGAACCCAGCTACGGTGGCTCTGCAGGGGTTGAATTATTAACGTGCTTCGCTTCCGCAAGCCCGATCCGAGAACGAACTGGCTGCAGTAGTTTAGGATGGCGGCCACGAAGGCACTTGGAGAAGGGAGCAGATATAAGGATTTGGGGATGGGAAGGGTACATCTGTGGATGACCAGGAGTAGGGTAAAAAAAAAAACCTGTCATCGCGTCCGAACCTGTGGCCCGCAGCTCGAGTCAGAAGGCGCCGAGAGCCCCGCCTTGGGGGCGTGGCCGCGCTGCCGGGGGCGGGGCGGGGGCGGGGCCTGCGCCTGCTCTGCAAGCGCTGAAACCGCACCCAGACGGAGTTGCGCCGCTTCGCTCTGCACCAGGCGTGCGAAGGTGATCCAGGTGAGTGCTCGCGTTTGCAGACTGCAAAGAGCCTGACCCTCCCGGAGCACCTAAGCTCGTGCACCCGGCACAGGCTCTATCTCAGCCGGCCCGAGCTGATCTTGATCTCTCTCCAACCTCCCTTCTTTATCTGTAATTTGAGCTCTCCATTTCCATACCGTTTCACCTCCACCTGCCCTGCATCCTTCAGATGGAGTAGGTTTGGAGTGTCTTCTCCAGACCCGGCCTCGGTATCTATGACTCAGGGAGATTCTCAAGGTCAACCCTTCCTCAGCTCCTTCCTTCCTTCCTGTTCTTGGGCAGTCTCTTTTCGGCTTTTGGAATCCACCTGACCTTGCTAACTGCAGCTCCGATAGCGAGGATGGACGAGCCGGACATTGCAGGAGTTGGCTGTGCAGGCCACACTGGTTTCAAAATGTGGCCTTTGAGCTCTGTGGCTGCTGCGGATGTGTTGCTAGGAGCCTTCAGGGAGGGCCTTTAGGGAATTGTATTTGTTTTCCTCCTGCCCCACAGAAACATTTGTATTGGAACCTGTACGTTTGTCATTTCCTAATTCTGCTTTACAGCAGGAGACTCCTCACGAGTTTCCCCTCGTATCTGGTACCGTTGCAGGGTGGCCCAGAGCCAGAGGTGGGGCAGCTACAGGGCGATTTAAGAGGCTGGAGACTCGTTAAGTGAGTCACTCCCCAAAGTTGTGGCTTCTGTTAATACTTTCCTTGGGAGTCACGAAGTTACAAGGGACAAGTGAGTGTGGGAAAGGAGGTAAAGGAGAACAAAGACAGATGGATGGATGCATAGGAAGGGGGGGCGGGGGTGTGGGACTTTACTCCCTTAGTTAGGGAAGGGAAGTGCCCTAGAAGGGAAGAATGCTCCCTGCTCTGCAGATGTACATGAGCCTGGGTATGGTCTTGCAGAATCCCTGCAGATTTTAGGGTGGAACTGGAACACGAACTTCCCTTTGGAAATCTGCAGTCACCTGGAACCTGCAGTGACTGGAAAATACCCAAGGTCAGGGTTACAGACATGCTGTATTTCAATGAATTCAAAAAGGAGAGCACCTTATCTGCGTCAGGGGATCAAGAATATGCATTCTAACAGAAGTTAAATTTAGCTAGGGAGCTAAATAAAACTAGCATCTAAAATCCAAACAAATGCTTCCACCCTGGGAAGATACTCTGTTAAGCTTCCCTCCTGACACAATGTTACAGAAATAGAAAACTTTGTCAAGTGATTCCTTTTTTTTTTCTTTAACCAATGTTACTATATATAAAATGACAGCGATACTGTGGCTCGCTATAGAAACTGCTCTAGAGCCTTCCTGAGAGTAAAGGGGCAGAGGGGAGGATGTGTAAAAAAGTACTAGTCTGTAACCCTACCACTTGGGGAGGTTGAGGCAGGAGGATGGTGAATTTGAGGCAAATTGGCAATGTATGAGAACCTGTCTCAAAATAAACAAAACTGGAGAAGGGCATCCTTCTCCCTTGTTCAGATTCTTCCTGCTGGCCTGGAGCTCTGGGGAAGTAGTCATGGAACCTTCTTGCCTGCATTTAGCACAAAGAAGGTACACATGTGAGATGAAAGGCTTTACTCATTGTTCAGGCAAGGGCAATCTGGAATGAAGTAGATGTCAAATTATCTGTCAAAAGTAATGTAGTGCTTACTGCACATTTAGCTTCATTTAAACATATGGTTCCCTATATTTATGCTTAAGCATTTTGAACCTGTATTCAGAGAACCATTGCTGATCACAATTGACTGAGAACCATTTTTTTTTCTTTCTTTCCATTTAGGATATTAAGGCAATATTTGTTTAGCAGAATATACTGCTACTATTTTAAATATTTAATTGATTAATATACTCATGAGTAAACCATCCTCTTGAAGAAAATTTAGGGATTATCATCTGGTAGATTATTGCTATGTAAAATAAAATCCTGTACAGAGCCTACTTACCTGTCTGTCTTTGTGGAGAGAAATGCAGCAATGAGACCATAGGAAAATTGTACTGTCTACCAAATGCATTTTCAAAAGCCTTTTAAGGATTTCATAGGTTTGCCTGTTACCCTCTGAGTTTTTTTAAGAGCTGACCCTGTTCATTAACTGAAATATAGGTTCTATAATTTTGGTGCCATAGTCCTTTCCTTTTTTTTTTTTTTTTTTCTTGTAATATTGGTGTTTGAACTCAGGGGTCTTACACTTGCTAGACAGTCATTTTACTACTTGAGCCATGCCCCAGCCCACACCTTTTTTTAAATAAGTGATATTTTACTCTTCCATCTTAAGAAATGCAAATGATTATAAAGCTTCATTCTAAGTACAATCAGGCATGAAAGGGTCAAACCTGTGTTTTAGGCTAGAGCCAGCAACCTTGGCAATTCCCTCACTTGGTGGCTGGTACCCTAGCAGGGATTCGCATCTGATAAGCGTTAACTACAGACTGCCTGCTTTTCTTGTGATACAGTACAAGTGTAACAATTGTGACTTATTTGAGACATTTTTTTCCCCTTTGGTTAGACTGGCAATTGAATTCAGGGCTTCATGCTTGCAAAGCAGGTGCTCTACAGCTTGAGCCACATCTCCAGTCCATTTTCCTCTGGTTATTTTGGGGATGGGGTCTCATGAACTATTTCCCTGGACTGGCCTGTAACCTCAGTCTTCCTGATCTCAGCCTCCCTAGTAGCTAGAATTACAGGCATAAGCCACCTGCACCTCTTTTTTTTTTTTTTTTTCCTTCTTCCGAAGTCATAGTTTAGTTGCCCTATGACTCTAAGCTTCTGTGTAATGCCATTGAAGGGACAAATATGTGGGAATGGTGATGATGTGAAAATGAAGTGTCAATTTCTGTGTTTCTTGGTCCCTTGTAAACCTGTATGCCTAAAGATGATGAAGTGTTTTCCTTCCTATAATCTCTCCCTCTTTTATCAAACTGCAGTGCTGACACTCACTAAAATGACAGTGTTCCTTTCTGGATCTGTCTCAAGGTGGGTTTTTATTTTTTATTTTTCCCAAATTAGAAACATGTCAGGCTTTAATCAGTTACAGGCTTGAGTTAATTATTAGCGCTCTCTTCTTGTTAATATATTTTATAGGCTCTGGAGAGGGTCTAGGGAAGTGGAGAGATTTCAGAAGAGGTCAGGTGTTGTCAAACTTGCTCTTCAACTTCATTCAGACACAGTATAGCTTAAGGGTGTAGGCACAGACTCTGGAGCCAGACTGCCTGGGGTATGGGAATCCAGGCAGTGATAGCTGTGTGACCCTGGGAAATTATTTAATCTCTCTGATGCTCACTTTCCTCACCTGCAAAATGGAGGTAACAGTACATCATAGAGGTCCTGAGGATGTAAATGAGTTAATACTGATGAACTACTCAGAACAGGGTTTGACCCACACTAAACAGTATGCATGCTAATAGTGAGCAGCAGGCACTAAATTATTTTTGACAGATTGATTTGATATCCACCTCATTCTGATTATTAATAATAGTCAACAAATTTATTATTAATAATATTGATTTCTGATACTACTCTTCCTTTTGAGTGCACGGTCTCCTTTCTCTTCATGGAAAAATCAAGCCCTGGGCTGGGGGCGTGGCTCAAGCAGTAGAGCACCTGCTTAGCAAGTACAGAGTCCTGAAATCAAACCCCAATACCAAAAAAAAAAGCAAAGCCTGTTCCTGTCTGCAGGCCTCTGCCCTTTCTGTTTTACCTCTTTCACACATTATTGTGGTATTCTTCAGGGCTTTCATCCCAAGCTGTCACCCTCCTGGTTTGTGATCCTCCTGTGGTGGTGTCTGCTAAGTACTCACCCTTACCTAACTGTATTCTGGAGGGTCAGGACCTTCCTTCTCAGTGTTGATGACCATCGTAGCCCTGCCCATTGAGTGCCACATGACACTTAGTAGGGGACCAACAAGGGAAGGGATCATGCTGAGCACGTACTGAAGGTGGTGGCATGGACTTTGAGTCAAGTGTTCCATTAGGTAAAATGCTTTGTCCTGCATTGAATTTAGCAAAGCAGACTCCTTTCATGAATTTTGTGATGTGATCTCTCCTGTCCCCATTTGGGATCCCATGCTTTCTCCTCATTCTGTCCCCTGTCCTCTGAGGTTGCTGCCTTCAGACCTTTAGAAGACTCCTATGAAATGTTGCTGGAATCACGTCTCCTGGGAGGCTCAGTTCCAGGCAGTCCACAAGGCTCAGCACCTCTTCATTAGGTCTCAAGCAACTCTTGCCCATGGAGCCTGAAGCCTGGAGCATCAGTTAGAGAAACTTTCTTGTCACACCTGCAGGGGAACCTGAAATGTGTTCTGGCTTCTTACAAATCGAGTTTTCTTAAAGAGCAGAATTGTCAGTTTCTCCCAGAGGATATTCGATTCCATTCAAGCATGTATGTTTTGTACTTTGTCATACAAAAGTCAGACTCTAGAGAAGCAATTTACTTATTGGCCTTAACAGAGTTGTACCAATGTAAGCTTGTCCCATGTAACTGAGAACCATTCATTTGACCTGGTGCATGGTGCTGATCCATCCCTCCCCCACTTCCCAACCAGTGCAGTTGTGCATTCCGCCATTGTTTTCAATACTGGCCATTCACCAACGTGTTGGGATTACGCTGGCATCTGAAACTTAAAGGTTTTATAGGGTTAAACTGTGGCTATTCAACTGTAAGTCTGAATATATTTGGATTATAGCACCTTTATTCCTTAAAGGGGTAGATCTTCCATCTTCCTAACGTATCCTTCATTTCCACTTCAAAAAATATTCTGCCAACACATTGATGAGGAATTGAAGAATGTAAAGGACTGGGAAAGACTCACTTTATGACCTGCCTTCTGCTGTTGACCTCACTAGAACTCACAAAAATAGTCACATAAATAATGATGTTCCTATTTAACTGACTTTGTTTCTACTGAGCATGCAATACTATTTCAGAATAATAGTTACTTTTTAACATCTAGGTTTCCATTCCTTCTCTTAAATGTCTTTTAAGTGTAATGGATG